CTGCATCATACAGCTTCGCTGATGAAAATCTCCGTACAGGATGGAAATGATTAAGATAAAAATAGACAGACAGGAAGAGATGATTTCCTGGCCATTATAAACTGTGCAAATTATTACTGACTGCTGGAATAATCATCCAATCATCTAAAGCAGCCCTCAGAACTCCTCAAATAATAAGCCAGTCTGTGCCCATTTGCAGCAAGGGCTAGACAATCAGGCTAGGTACAACTCTTAAAAGATTCACACATTAAACAGCCATCTCCCAACAAGGCAGTCTCGCCATTTCGTCTCATTTAAATGGCATGATCACAGTTGAAATCCTAACCATCAACATTCTGGCAGCCTAAATTGACAAGAAGCATAACTGCACCTCCTGACGCCCAAAGTCTGGTTTTAAACATCTTCAAGGCATAAGTCAGGTGTGTGATGGATTATTCTCCACTTACCTGGGTCAGTGCAGCTCCAACAACAGAAGGAAGCTCAAACACATTGGAGATAAAGCTGCCCAGCTGACTAGCAACCCATCCACCACCATAAACATTCAATCCCTTTACTACAGACGTACAGCGGCAGCCGTGTGTACCATTCACAAGATGCTTTGCAGTTACTCACCGAGACTCCTCCAACAGCACTCTCCAAACCGGTGACATCAATCACCTAGAAGGACAAGGGCTGCTGATGCATGAGTCCACCACCACCTGCAGTGAAAGAATGTTGATGCATTTCCAAGTCAGGATGTTGAATGGCTTGGAGGGGAACTTGCAGATGCTGGTGTTCCCATGTACCTGCCGCTTGTCCTTCTAGATGGTAGTGGTCACGGTTTTGGACAGTCTTAGGATCTTTGGTGAATTCCTGCATTCATCCTTACTTGTCACGCAAAGGAGTGTGAACTCTCTCACGTGCTAAGCTAAATATCTCCTCTCCAATAGCCAACAAATGAATGTTTTCTGGAAGTCTCACCACAAGATATCCCAATTTCTACTGGTTTTCTCCCATGCTCCCAACATTGATCTACACCACAGCACACAGTATAGCAAATGAAAAGCTGATTCTTTCTGACATAAATTGTTGATTCCCGACTGTCCAACAGCATTTTATTCATATACTGGCCTGCAGGCCAAATGCTGGAAAATGGGAGGAGAATTGTTAGATGGTTGTTTTTGACCAGCGCAAACTTGATGGGCCAAAGGGCTTGAAGTGAAGATTTCTATTCTTAAACAGAAAGTAAATGTCCCTTGCCACTGTCTCCATCAAACAATCCTAGGCCAAGTTCAGCACAAGGTTAGATAGAGAGAAAAGTTCCCTCTGCTCTTTGAAACTGAAAGTAAAGCTACTCTACTCTTTTTAGCTGACAGAAAGACTGCCTCTACTCTTTCAAAACAAGGAATAAAAGGAAAGTTGCCTTGATACCATCCCCAAACACTCCTGGGACAGAGTTAAATACAGAGTAAAGCTCACTCTACTCTTCTAGTCGAGAAGTAAATGGGACAGGGACAGCACAGGACTGAATTTGGAGTAAACCTCCCTCTCGTCCTTGAACGAAAAGTAAACCAGAAGTTCCCTCAACTCTTTTGCAATGAAAATAAGGTTTCCTTGACACTGTCCCCATCAAACTCCCAGGACAGTTACAGTATGGGACTAGATAAAGAGTAGAGCCACTTTGGCTCTTCTCACTTGGAAGTATGACAGTCTGGACACAAATTAAAACGTGAGGCTGCCTCCACAGTCCCAAACAAACACTCCTAGGACATGGCCAGAACAGATTAGGTAGAGTAAACCTTCATCTACTTTTTTTAAAACTGAAAGTAAAGCCCCCTCGACACTGTCCCCAAACATTCCCAGGGAAAAGGAAAGCACAAGCTTAGGTTCAGAGTAAAGCTCCCTCTACGTTTACACTGAAGGTAAAGTTCCCTCAACACCGTCCCCATTAACACTTCCAGGAAAGGTGCAGCACTGGGTTAAATACAGATTAAAGCTCCATCTACTCTTTTAAACTGAAAGTAAACAAACTAAAGTTTCATTTACGCTTTCAAACTGAAAGTAAAGCCTCCCCAATACTATCCCCAAAACTCGCTGGACAGGGACAGCCTGGAGTTCAATACAGAGTACAGCTCCCTCAACTCTTATTAAAGCTGGAAGGTTAAAATAACAGCATAGACCTCTATGACTATGTTTATTTATAACGTATGAGGTTGAAGACTCTGATGCTTTCATCCCGGACTGCTCATAGCAATGGCACGATGATTAATTTTCAATTACAACAGGCTCCGGGACATTGCAGAACGTTGGAAATGCAATAACTATTTTGGCCCAGGAGTTTTACTACTGTTTCAACACTGAACAGTCTTTTCAAATTTACAGATGAAACTTATGGATTTAAGGACTGAGTTATGCATATAAACGATAGCACATAACATGCAGACATCTCAAACTTGATCTAGTAACTGAGGGGAAAATTGACAATCAACCACACCAGAGCAGAACAAGCCATTTTATAGTCAAGTGATCTGAAACATCAACACTGCCATCCCAGGTACCATAACAGGTTGTGTGTGTTGGCTCAGTGGCTGCTACTTTCACCTTTGTGTCACAAGGTTGTGCTTTCCAGCCTCACTTGACAGACGCAAGCATGAACTCTAGGCTGACACTCCAGTGCAATACTGAAGAAATGATACACTATCAGAGGTGCCAACTGTTGGACTTGATATGAAATAAAGAGTCCAACTGACCTCTTGGGCGAGTGCAAAATATTCCCCTACCACTTTTTCAAAGAGACATGGAAAAGTATAGACTGATCAATGATTTGATCAAAGTCATGGCCCCTCCTGCCCAAATTATTGTTGCATTTTCTGCAGCTATGAATGTACTGCGAAAAAAAAAAACTGGTTGCAAAAAATTTTGGGAAAACCTCACATCATGAAAGACACAGTATTCATATAGGTCTTGTATCTATCTGCTACATAAAACATCTTTTTCTCCCTTTAATCCAACCCACCCAACCAGATGCATCTCTCACTCTTTGCCTCTCCCAATCCTATCCCCTGTATCCAAGCATGTTCTTTCTCGCTTTCACACACATGCATATTGTCCTTCCCTCTGTCAGTTTCCAAAAAATCCCGATCTTAAAATTTTAAACAAGTATAGTCAAGTCAAGCTTATTATCATGGAACTTGACTGTGGAAGAAAACACACTCCAAACTCTGCTTGCAATGCAATAAAACCAGAACACAACCAGATATGAAGACAGAAAACACAGATATGTAACGAATGGCCAAGAAAACTGGTCAACTAAACTCATGTTGAGTAGCTTCAATGATGAGTGGCCCTCAAAACTCTTAATCTCAGAGATTTAAATCTATGGTGAGGTCAAAGTTATTTGAAGCTCAGTATGAACTGTAGATACACTTTCAAGCTCACCTTTACTTTATCTTCATCATTCACAGGACACGAGCATCACTAGCTGGGCCAGCATTTATTGTCCATCCTCAGTTGCCCTCAGGAATGTGGTTGTGAGCTGACTTCTTGAACCATTGAAACCCATTTTGAGTAAGTAAGCCCACACTGCTACTAGGGAGATAACAAGGTGTAGAGCTGGATGAACACAGCAGGCCAAGCAGCATCATAGGAGCAGGAAGGCCTATGATGCTGCTTGGCCTGCTGTGTTCATCCAGCTTTAAACCTTGTTATCTCAGATTCTCCAGCATCTGCAGTTCCTACTATCTCTGTTGCTATTAGGGAGGGAGTTCAAGAATTCTAACCGAGTAACACTGAAGGAATAATGGTATATTTCCAAGTCAGACCAATGAACGACTTGGAAGGCATGGGAACTTGCAGGTGGCAGTGTTTCCAATACTTATTTCAATGTGGCCATCCATTAACCACTCACACTTAGATATATCAACACTGAATCTACAGTGAGAGGAGTGGAGAAACATCATAAGAACAGTGCAAGCTTAGCTCTTTGCCTCATGTTCTCATATTTCCTTCTCTGCAATGAAACCCAAATCTACATTCTCCCAACTTTCCCACAACAAAAACTACACAGCAGAATCTGACTGTCATTTCTGATTTTGATGTACTTTGCACACAATACTTCAGAAACATTTAGAGATTGATAATTCTTTGTTGCAAAATATCTGCAAGCTTGTTTGGCTTAGTCAGAATAAAAGATATAAATTTCCAAGGCCTCAAATGACTGTACATATTATGAGAGGATACAAAGTTTAATCTGAGGCAATGCAGCACTCACACTTCAGCAACTTTACTCAGGACAGAAACAAACAATAAACACTCGATTTTCAATAAACAATCACAAATTTCACAGCAACATCCATCGGTTAATAAATCCCGAGCAGCACAAATTTGCACACAGATGTCAGAAGGCACACCAATACATATTCGAGCAATTGAAATGGAGAACGCTCAAAAGGCTAAACGTACGAAGATAGTTGGACTGCCAAAGGTTAAAGATAGGGAGGGGTCGATGTCAGAGATTTGAAAACTAGGGTGAGAATTTTAAAACCGAGGCGTTGCTTGAGCCGGGAGCCAACGTAGGTCAGAGGGAAAAATGGGAAAACGGTGCGAGTCAACAGACGGACAGCACAATTTTAGATATTTTCCGAAGCAATCTGCTCAGCGATGTAATTACACACCTCTAAGGAAGTGGGCTCAAGTTGACAAGAGGGCAGTAAGTGGGAGGGCAGCCAGGGTCTAATACTCACTGTGGGAGATGCTACTGTAAAGATGGAAAAGATCTGGCCCACCATCCATCCCAGTTAGGCAAACCTCCAGCGTTAACACCGCAACTAGTCGTGACCACACATTTAAAGTGGGTCAGATTGTGACAGTGGGAAGGTTTCATCACAAAGATTGATGGACATGGGAGCAGCAACAAAAAAAAATTAAGATTGAGGCAGGCAAAAAAAAAACGGTTAAAAGGGGTCTGGACTCCTCCAACCCGGTGGCCGCTGACACCCATCACCAAACCACACCGAACTTACCGGCCAGTCCCAACCGTGTACTCCAGGCCTAGACCCTCGCTCCGCCAGCAGCCGAACTCAAATCACACCCGAACACCCGATAGACGCCTTAACAACCGACGACCGTCATCAACCTTCGACCGTGCACCTCGTCCGCCTTTAGCCAATAGGTTGGACGTCATCACTCAACGACGGAGGCAAAGCTGCTGCCCTGTGAAGGGCGGTCCCGCGTCGGGATGACAGGCATTTCAGACTGCTATCTGAATTCCGCCAACGTTAACGGTTTCAGATTTCCAGCATCCGCAGTATTTTGCTTTTAGGTAGTACTGGCCAAGCCTGATCTGCTACGATGATCATGAAAAGCTTTTCGATAGTTTACAGTTAGGTGTTGACGATTTCAAGTTATGGGGGCTGTAGCTATTTCCTTTGGCAGCTTGTTCCATTGTGAGTTTGTCCTTGGGAAGAAAGATTGTATCGAAACAGTGCCTTGGAAACAAATTGCCCTGTAGTACATGTTACCTTGTGTTTTATAATAAAACAAAGAACTGCGGATTCTGGAAATCTGAAACAAATAGGGAGAAACTGAACAGGTCTGGTAGCATCTGTGGAGATAAAGACCTTGTGTTTTATCATTCATGGAGAGCATCTTTTTTTCTGTTAATTCCCACCAGTTTATTTCATATTTTAAAGCACATGGTCAGCCTGGTTTTCTCATTCTTTGTTGCAGTGAATTCCATTCCAAGTATGCAACAACGTGACATTGGTGTATTTCCCCAAATGTTTGGTGGGCTACCATGCTGATATTTCTGTTGTCATACCAAAGATTCTTCCTCAGAAATCCAAGAACTCTATTTGCTTTGGATGTTATCTGCTGAATGCAAAGTCCTCATCGACAATTTGTTTTATTACAATAAATGCCAGGTATGGTTGTGTGGCTACCTGTTAGGGAACTTGACAGTAGAATTTAAAGCAATCTGTGGGTGGATCCATGTTTTTTGTAATATATGTGGCATCACATTTTTTCACATTGAATGCTACCTATCATTGGTCCTGCCATTCAAGCAATTCCAGAAGACTGTCTTGCAGTAAATTGATATTATCCTGTGTTTTTTAATGCGTAAACTGCACAGTCATCTGCAAATAGGCACTTTTTTTAACTTATTGGGAAAGTCATCTCTTTATTGTCAAGAAGATGATAGAGGTAATCATTGCCTGGCATTTGTGTGGTGCAAATGTCACTTGACAGTTATAATCCAAAGGCTAGACATTGTCCAGCTCTTGCTGCATGTGGGAAAAAGAAGAGTTCCAGTAGCTGAGGAGTTGCAAATGAAATTGAACATTGCCTAGGTAGGTCGTTGATGAAGCAGCTGAGAATAATTTGATAGAACACTTCCCTGAGGAATTCAGGGACTGAGATGATTGTCTTTCAACAGCCAAAACCATCATACTTTGCATTGGCTATGACTCCAGCCAGTGGGGAATTTATCCTTGATTCCCATTTATTTAAACTTTGTTAGGACACTTTGCCATACTCAGTCAAATGTTGCCTTAATGTCAAGGACAGTGACATAGTCCACCTTGCTTCTGGAATTCAGCACTTTTTTCTACGTTTGGATCAAGACAGTAGTGAAGTCAGGACCAGCGTTGGCCTGATGAACTTAAATAGAGCATTGGTGAAGAAGTTATTACTAAGTGCCACTTGACAGCACTGTCAATGCCACCTCCCATCACCTAGCTAATGCTTGAAGAAAGATTGATGAAGAGTAATTGTTTAGATTTGTCCTTTTTTTTTGTGAACAGGACATAGCTGAAGGATGACACTAGTTTCCATGTTAGAACAAGTTTTTTTCGAAATGCTTCAAAATATCAACTCCGTGTTTCATCTCTGGCTTTCAACTCTTCCTACAGTTTTGTGTTTTTTTACAGATTTAAGCAATGAAGCAAAGTGAACATCAACATAAACAGACTCATGTGTTTAAGCACAAAACAATGGAACACTACATCAATGATGAAAGGATCATGGACGATTTCCCAAATCGAGCTTCCAGCTCTACTTTTGTCTTGGGAGTAGCAGATTGTAGAATGTCCCATGTGAACATTGCTGATAAAAACCCAGTGAGCATTGGAGCTAAATTAATGGGAAGAACTAAAAGAAGAAAGTGCCTACATCTTTTTCACGCTTTTCTCAACCTCAGGATGTTGCAAAGCACTTTACAGCCAATTATGTGCTTTGTTGTTCGGTAGACACTGTTGTATTGTAGGAAGTGTGGTGGCTAAATTTTTACCTAGTGAGATCCCACAAATAGCAATGTGATAATGACCAGATAATTTGTTCTGTGGCATTGGTGGAGAGACAAATATTGACCAGAATAGAAGGGAAGAACTCCTCCGCTATTTTTTTGAGAGAGTGGATAGGACCTTTAATGTTCCTCCAAGTAGGAAATCAATCTCATCCCAAGGTCAGTACATCCAACAATGCATTTATCCTAGAATTGCTGCTGCTTCATATTCTCATCTGCTGTGTGTCAGAGAGCAGCGCTAGGCAGTGACTGCAATATTCCTTTGAAAGAGAGAAGGAAAACTGGACAGAAAAGTCATTTCTAGATTTCCATGGTCTACCTCCTGGATGGTGACCATGAGGACATCAGGATTTTCACTAACGATGAGCAGAGAATCTCGTGATTTCAACAAATCCCGACAAGTCTTTTAAATAGCATTCCCTCATTCTTGTAAACTCTAATGATTAAAGGCCTAACCTGCTTTGCCGTTCTTGAAGCCATGCAGAGAGGTTTCATTAGAAACCTCTGTTTTAAAGAGTCATTCCTTAACTCTGATGCTGTACCTTTGGATCCTAGTCTCTCCTACTTGTGGAAACACCTTTTCACATCCACTCTATCCAGTATGCCAGTGTCAATCAGATCCCTCTTCATCTTTCTGAACACCATTGAGTACATATCCAGAGTCCTCAACTGCTCCTCATGTGACAAGTCTTTCATCCCCGGGATCATTCGTGTAAACCTCTCTGGACCCCTCCAGTGCCAGCACATCTTTCCTTAGATACAGGACCCAAAACTACTCTCAATATTACAAATGTGGTCTGACCAGAGCCATAACAGCCTCAGCAGCACATCTCTGCTCATGTATTCTAGTCCTTTTGAAATGAGGGCTTCTGTTGACCAGGAGGGTAACAGGGGATTTCTGAAGAAGAGTCACTAGACCTGAAACATTAACTCTGATTTCTCTCCACAGATGCTGCCAGACCTGCTGAGATTTTGCAGCAATTTCTGTTTTGTTTCTGATTTCCAGTATTCACAATTCTTTCTTTTCTTTTTCCACGCAGGAAGGTATTCTGTTCGGACAATTTAATGAAATATAGTTGATTATTATTTTGAAGTATGATTATCTTAGACAATGGAATGAGATTTGCTGAGAAATAGGGTGGCACGATGGCTTGGTGGTTAGTACTGCTGCCTGACAGTGCCAGAGACCCAGGTTTGATTCCACCCTTGGGCGACTATCTGTGTGGAGTTTGCATGTTCTCCCTGGGTCTGCGTGGGTTTCCTCCAGGTGCTCGGATTTCCTCCCACAGTCCAAGGATGTGCGTGGATTGACCATGCTAAATTCCCTGTACTGTCCTGGGATGTGCAAGCTAGGTGGATTAGCCATGGGAAATACAGGATTATAGGGACAGGGTAGGGAGCTGGGTCTGGGTGGGATACTTTTTGGAGGGTCGGTAAGGACTTAGTGGGCCGAATGGCCTGCTTCTGTGAGGATTCTGTGGGTGTGTGCATGTGTTCAGGAAACTGATGGATAACATAAGGAGAAAAGAAGAAAAATCCTGTTTATATTTTGAACTTTTCATGCCTCAATGTGCTTGAGTGCTTTTGAAATTTAGTTATTGTTATAAAGTAGGAACAATGTCAAACTTAGTAAACCAGGAGTTACAAGCTACAACTTGTAACCATTTACGGGCAATAAGTGATCATTAATGGAGAAAGCTCTTTGTTTCTATTCTTGTGGAAGAAAAGCAGAAGAATCTGAGCCACAACAAGTGTTCACGTGTAAGTAAGCAGTAAACAGCTTAGTTATTGCTGTATAAGAATAGGACCGATAGACTATTAAATTATTACTGTGGTGTTTAATTAGGTTAACATGGATCTTTCATCAGTTGCATAATATGTTGAACTGTTCTCTTAGGTGTTAATTAAAACCAGAACTTAACAGTTATACATATCAGCATAATAAATACCAATTCAACAGTAATTGAACAGTTACCTTGCTTTGGCCATGGTAGACATTACCTGTGGAACATTGGTCCATCAGTTATGTTGATATCTTCTCGAGGAAACACAGGTATATGTAATAGTGTTCTCAAACTGGGGCCCATAGAACCCCACAGACCCACAGAGACTTTCCCTGGGTCTGTTACTCAGGGCTAGCCCATGACTGAGTGCTGGGTCAGGGTGATGTGGACAAGAGAAACAAGTGGGCGGTGGCTGGATACTTAGAGCATCAGGAAAACACTTTGTCCTTTTTTGAAATGATGCTACATGATCTTTTACTTCTTCAACAGTCAGAAGCATGGGTGGATGAGGGATATTGTCAGTTTCATATTTCATCGAGCAGTTGTCAACTCTGGCAATGCAGCACTCTCTCAATAAAACACTAAAAATATTACTACAAATTACACTCACAAATCCTGAATTGGGACTTGAACTCACAACGTTCTTACTGATGAGAAAATGCTACCTCCAAGCCAAGCTAGCATTGTACAATTGCTGTAAAAAGAGACATATTTAAGAAGCTTTTATCTTGCACCGATGAGGACAACTGCAAGAATTCCACAATTCAAACAATCATGATGGTTTGTATTACAGGAGCAAAGGATACCCATGGGTTATCAAGTGGACTATGACACTGCCATGGAGAAAGCAACAGGGGACAATAAGTACTCCAAGCTCTTGGGTAATTCAAAGTTGTTGCAGGGCTTGAATGTGGAGTCATAGTGATACAGCATGGAAACAGGCCAATATATGCTTTTCATTTACATATGAACGTCACTTCTAGCAAGTTTAAATGAGCCATGCTATGAGCTCAACTGATATCTAATGAACTGGCCCCAACAGATCCTGTGGGAGAGAGTTCC